GCCCTGCTGTCCCTCCCCTACTGTGTCTTTCTCTAATGGTGCTCTTAACCACCTGGCGTTGTTTTTGGTCATTGGGCTGTTGTCCTTTGGCCTCTAGAATGGGAGCTCCATGGGAGCAGAACTGTGCAGTTGACTGTGGTGCTCGTTGAATGTGTGTTGAACATGTGGGTATCTGAAGAGGAGTCAGTATGAGAAGTCGGAAGGCTGCCCGGGCTTTGACTATTCAGTTAAACACTCTCGTGTATGGTTTCAATCCTTGGCCTCCCTCAACTCCACGTGTGAGCGTCTCCCGTGCAGCCTGCACAGCGGCGACGTGCTGGCACTGCTCAGAGCTGGAGCTGCACAGTGAGCAGGTAGACCTGGTTTCCTCATGGAGCGTCTGCTCCACTGGGGAGCAGGCAGTAAGTAGGACAGCGAGTGAGAGATGATCTTTACAGACCACGAGGAGTGCGCAAGGGATGTGACTAGAGGCCCATAAAATCAAATAAGTATGGCAAGGAGGGTCGTGCTAGAGATGATGCCCAGGGAAGTCCTCCCGGAGGTGACATGCAAGCTGAGGGTGGAGGGAAGGACACAACAGGCGGGCTAAGAATCAGAGAAAGTGCTCCTGGGCAGCTAAAGGAATTGCTGGTGGCCAGAGATAAGACAGAGCTGGAGATGTTCTCGGGACTGCTGGAGGGCCAGTGTGTGGCTGCCATCTGGGTGGGGCGCAGGGAGCCAGCGGCTGTGGAGGACGCGGTGAGGACTTTTATTCCAGGTGCAGTGCAAAGCCACTGAAGGTTTGAGCAGGGAAAGTGATTTGTATGTCGAAAGAATTCCTGTGATTGCTGTGTGGAGAATGGAGTGTAGGAGGAACTATAACATGCTGTCTTTTTTTTTTAACCTTTTTTTTTTTTCCTTTATTGATTTTTCGGAGAGAGAGGAAGGGAGAGGGAGAGATATAGAAACATTGATTGGCTGCCTCCTGTATGCCCCCCACTGGGGATCTGGCCCCCAACCTGGGCATGTACCCGGACCGGGAATCGAACCAGCGACCTCCTGGTGCATGGGTTGATGCTCAACCACTGAGCCACACCAGCCGGACTAACATGCTTTCTTTTTATTTTTTATCCTCACCAGAAGACATTTTTCCTTTTTTTTTCAGGTAGATTAGGAGGGAGAGAGAGGAAGAGAGAGAGAAACATCAACGTGAAAGGGACACATCGAGTGGCTGCCTTCCACACGACCCAACCAGGACCAGGGACGAATTGCAACTGAGGTACGTGCCCTTGACCGGAATCTAACCTGCGATTTATTGGTCCGCGGGTCGGCGCTCCAACCACTGAGCCACACCGGCCAGGGCATAACATGCTTTCTTATCACTTAGGATTTTATTCTATTTTTAGATTTAAAAAATCTTGCCTGGCCGGTGTGGCTCAGTGGTTGAGCGTCGACCCATGCACCAAGAGGTCTCCAGTTCGATTCCCGATCAGGGCACATGTCCAGGTTGTGGGCCTGATCCCCAGGGGGGACATGCAGCAGGCGGCCAAACGATGTTCTCTCTCACCCATGTTTCTATCTCTCTCCCCCTCTCCCTTCCTCTCTTTCTAAAATCAATAAAGAAAAAATTAAAAAGAAATCTCCCCAACCCTTGGTAGCCACCATTAAGCTCTCCGTCTCTGAATTCCAGTGGTCTAGGTTCCTCACATTAAGTGGAATAACAGCGTTTGTCTTTTTGTGACTGGCTTCTTTCTCTCAGCAAATGTCCTCCGAGTTCACCATGTTGTTGTAGCGCATGTCAGAATTTTTGTCCTTTTTAAGGCTGAATAATAATTTCATTGTATGGATAATATCACATTTTATTTTATTATTTTTTAAATCTTCACCTGAGGATTTTTTTCTTTCCTTTTTTTTTAATCCTCACCTGAGGACATTTTTTCATTTTTTTGTTCAGATAGAGTGGGAGGGAGAGAGAGGAAAAGAGAGAGAGAGAGAGAGAGAGAGAGAGAAACATCGATGTGAAAGGGACACATCGAATGGCTGCCACCTGCACAACCCAACCAGGTCTGGGGACAAACTGCAACTGAGGTACGTGCTCTTAGTGGGAACCGAACCCGGGTCTCTCTGGACCGCAGACCAACGCTCTAACCGCTGAGCCAAACCGGCCAGGGCTGAGGATGTTTTTTCCAATTGGTTTTTAGATAGAGTGGGAGGGAGAAAGGGAGAGAGAAACATCGATTTGTTGCCTCCCACATGACCCCAACTGGGGCTGGAGATCAAATCTGCAACCCAGGTACGTGCCCTTGGCCAGGAATTGAACCCTTAACCCTTCGGTGTGAGGGCCAACATTCTAAGCAATGAGCCAAACTGGTCAGGGCTCATTGTGGTTTTTATTTGCATTTCAGAAATCTAAAACTTAGAAAGTGTTTGGGGAAAGGAATATGGCCTCTATCCTCTCCAGGCCGGAGTGGACACAGGCAGATCCTTTAGGAAGCCTCTGCAGAGGTCCTGGTGAGGGAGCGTGGTGGCCGGACAGGCTGGTGGCCGAGGAGCTGAGAAACGAGGCGGACTCAGGCTTAAGGAACAAGACTTGGTGATGCATGGTCTGTGTTTAGATGAAGAGATTGAGGAAGCAGTGAACACAGGCCCTGGGTCTCTGCCCTGAGCAGTCGGGTGGAGAAGAGGTGGAGGTGAGAGTTTCTGGTTTACTTCCCTCTCCCTCTCCCCAGTTAAGTGTTCGTGAGAAGTACTTCATTGCTTTCTTTCAGTACGATTTTCATCACAGTACTAGTTCTCCTCGGATGATTTGTGATGCCGTTCACGGTTTCCCTTCTGTGTTCAGTGTAGGTCAGCGAGCACTGAGCTCCCATGACAGGCCAGGGGCCGTGCTAGACCTCAGGGGGTCCAGATGAGAGAGAGGCGCAGCCTGGCGGGGAGCAGTGGTCCCCGCAGGCCTGGGGGCCAGGATTGCCTGCGCTGTTGCAGTGCTGAGGCTCACAAAGAACTTTGTGCAGGTGGGTTTTATTTGTTGATATTTGCCACATCAGAAATGAAAGTTGAGTGAGATACTTTAAAAAATTACGAATTCTTTAAAAAAACTAATAAAAGCTGTTGTATGTGAATATAAATAATGTTTTTAATGAAAATAGCTACATTTCCCCAAACAAATTTAATGAGTGACTTTGTTTTTGCTCTTTCAAATCTTTTCAATGTCTGATTTATAGGAGACAGCTGGATTCACACACTAGCTTTTTTATTTAAAGAAGCTGCAACACCACATGTCATTTGGCCTCTGGAAACCTCCAGTAGACACTTGTGAGAGAATGAGAGTGAAAAGGGAAATGTCTTAGTGTTGTTATAAAAATAGTTTGGCTTCACAAAACCTCTGGAAAGGCCTCTTGGAAGCCCTCCAGAGGTCCCCAGACTATTGGTTTAGGGGTAAGAGCACAGATACCGGAGCCAGATTCCATGAGTTCAAATCCCAGCTCTGCCAGTAACTCCTGAGTCAAGGTATCTAACCTTTCGGTGCCTCAGTCTGCTCATATATAAAATGGACACAGCCCGGCCGGTGTGGCTCAGTGGCTGAGCGTCGACCATGCACCAAGAGGTCGCCGGTTCAGTTTCTGTCAGGGCACATGCCCAGGTTGTAGGCCCGATCCCCGGCGGGGGGGGGGGGGCATGTAGGAGGCGGCCAGTTGATGTTCTCTCTCATGGATATTTCTCGCTCGCTCTCTCTCTCCCTTCCTCTGTCTCTAAAATCAATAAAGAAAAAATATTTTTAAAATTAAAAAAATAGTAAAATGGATATAATAGAAGTACCTACCCCCGTGGTTATGATGAAGACTGAATAAGTATGTATTTGTACAGTTCTTAGAACATTGCTAGAAGATGGTGAAGTGCTACATCAGTGTTGATTAAATAAATACAACCTAATCCTTTAACTTTCCTTCACCGGGCTTAATCTAGTTAAGTAGATAAACAACCAAACGACTTCAGGGATTTGTAGATGTTCATTGACAGCTGTATTTGCAGCAGGGACACAAGTAGGGGCTTCTGAACTTGGGGGTCAAGAATCAGCATGTTCTTGGTTGTCTGAACAATAAAAGGAGCAGATTTTCTGCAATGTTAGCATGACAGACAGCTTCTTAGTTCAGATGAGGTCCTTCCCTGTTAGCATTTGTCATAATTTAATCCGTCATCTTCCTCATTCATAATGGAAAGCCTGTGAGCAGCCCGGTTGGTTGGCTTCTGTGATGCCTGCTTGGCTGTCTTCTGGCCTGGGACAGACAGCCTGGGGTCAGTGAGGGTTTATTGACTGGTTATGAAGTTAATGCCTCTCAAAATGTCCAGGAAAGAGTTCTTTGATCTGCTGGGATTTTCTGGACATATCTGTAATAACTTCAAAACTCTGGAAGATTGGTATAAAGAAGTTATAGATTATATTTTTATTGAAATGAAGAAAAACCTAATCATTCCGCTCTTGAAAGTGATAATAAGATTTGTACCTTAGCATAACTTGTGTTATTTTCTGTCATTGTTTTAGTGAATAAATTGGATATTTATTTTTCATCTCACCTGTTTAAAACGGCCAAGTTATATAGTTTTATTAAAATAGCAGCAAGTTTGAGTGTGTTTAAAAGTGTGGTGTGCTAATTGCAAATTCACAGTATCAGTCAAGAAAGTGTGATAAACAGAGAGAAGATGATTAAGGCGATTGAGATGCAGTTTGTATTTATTTATTTTTGCCTGTGTGAAAAATGTGTTTATTCTACCCACACATGTAATTTAAAATTTGGTTTGGGTAGAATTTAGGATTTAAAATAATTTCTAAGCTGCAGTCTTTAAAAAGTGAAGTGGTGGCTTGCAGAAATATTGGTGTGCTGAGTTATTACGTGTCTCGGATGGGTGCTTTCTTCGCAAGGCATGTTCAGTTCAGCTCCAGCATGGTTATTGACCGCGTGGGTGTCCTCGGGCAGCCTTGTTTCTGCTGTGGACTTACAGTGTGCCCTTTCCCTCCCTAGATCCGACGGAGGCGCCTCGCTCGACTTGCTGGTGGACAGACTTCCCAGCCGACCACCCCGCTTACCTCTCCCCAGAGAGAGAACCCTCCGGGGCCTCCTCTAGCAGCGTCAGCCCCAGGCCCCTCCCAGAGTCTTGGTCTCAATGTCCACAACATGACCCCAGCTACCTCCCCAATAGGTGCATCAGGTAAGCCTTCTCTTCATACCGGGGTGTGTTTATAATTCTAATCATAGTTTTTTATTAGCTTACAGTTGTGACATGTCCACAACTGGGTAAATTAAGTTGAACAGCAATTTTTCAAAATCCTGCATTCAGGCCCTGGTCCATTTGCCTCTGTGGTTAGAGCATCAGCCCTTGGACCAATGAGTCGCAGGTTTGATTCTGGTCAAGGGCATGTATCTCGGTTATGGTTCGTCCTCGGCCCTGTTTGGGGCTGTGCTGGAGGCAACCAGTCAGTGTTCCCTCTCACCTCGATGTTTCTCTCTCTCCCTCTCTCTTCCTCCCTTCCACTCTATCTGAAGATAAACAGAAAAATATCCTCCAGTGAGGATTAAATAAATAAATCCTGTAGTCAGTGGTTTTATTACAGCATGACTTGTTAATGTCTGTTCACTTTGATAGTGATCTGTTGTGACTCCTTGTTTTCCTTTCCATAGCTTATCTTTTTTTCCAAAGAGGGTCAGGTCTTAGCTTTGATAGTAAAGTGATTAAGACTAAATTTGGTTCTGCTGATGTGATGAATTTGGCTCATGCTTTTCTTTTAAGATAAAATAATCTGAAAATGCAGTATTAAAGTAATGGTCAAAGTAACAAGTCTGTAATTACGGATTCCTTGTTTTCATTGTACATTGGTGTAGAAGTCTTTCTCTCAATTTTCAGGGTATAAAAGTTTGCTTAGTATGATGTTTTAGGACTGTCTCATTAACAGTTATTTAACTCTCATAAAGGTTTATTTCTTTATAATTAATGAGTTCATGGTTGATATCTAGGAGTATCTTTGTTGGGAAATGATGATATTGGCTCATACTGTATATTTGAAATATCTGTCCTTTCTCTAAATGAGCATTTCTATCGAACATAATAATTATAACAATTATTATAATTACTTAAGATTCTAATTATGAAAAAGCAGGTGCTAAGAGACCTGTATTAATCGTCATATCATGTAATAACGGAATATCTGGTGTTTAGTTTCACAGTCATTTAATATGCTCTCCCTTCATCCCCTCCGAATAACCTGTCCTGATCTAGGCTAACTTGTCAATTAAAAGTGTTTACAGCCCTGGCTGGTTTGGCTCAGCGTTTGAGCGGCTGCCCGCAGAACAGTGAGTTGTGGGTTTGATTCTGTTCAAGGGCACATACCTCAGTTGCGGTTTGTCCCCGGCCCTGATTGGGTTGTGTGGCAGGCAACCAGTCCATGTGGCTCTATCACATTGATGTTTCTCTCCCTCCCCCTCCCCCCTCTCTCCCTTCCACTCTGTCTGATAATAAGTAGAAAAATATCCTCAGGTGAGGAATAAAAAAAAGTGTTTACAGAGTTTTTGTTGCTGTAACTCTTGTTAGACATCATTGTAGTCTCCTCCTTATGGAAATATAGGTGCTTATACATAATTCTGTTACTTATAAAAGTGAGAGCAGTTCAGGCCAAAACGTCAGTTAGTAATGAACAGTGCCTTTGCCTGAAATGTCTCCTCTGTACACCTTTGAGAAGCTGTGCTGGTCCCCTGGTGCGGGAAGGGTTTGGGATTCTAGTTGTGTTTTTCACCTTCCCCCCCGCCCCCCATACTAGAAATTGTCCAGGGGGAGCTGGTTTGATGGGGAGTCTCACTGCGTCGGCAAACGTCAGGGAGGAGACCCAGCAGCACTCTGTGTGCGCCGGGTAAGCCCCCAGCACTCCTGCTCGCAGCACAGTGTCTCTTCGGGACCACCAGCAGTAACTGCAGCACCCCCTGTGCATTGAAACCAAGTCAGAGACAAGCCAGAACCATGCTGTCTGTCTCATTTCAGATTCATGATCACAAACTCAAGGAGACCCTTAACAGGGGTAGGCAATTACACCGTTATTTCCTGATTTTCTCTCCCACTCTGCTAATTATTCCACACCGTCTTCCGCCTGCAGCCTCATTCTCTGTGTGTACTCTTAGCTGATAGCCCATCTTCCTATTTATGGAGAAAAGAGATGTGGGAGAAGGGACCTCCTGACGCTCGCATCATTGCATCCCCTCCCTACCTGGGTGTGCAGCCAGTTGTTGCTATGCTTGCACTGTCCCCCCCGTCCCAGGCCTACCCTAGATCCCAGCTCCTCTTACCTGCTCAGAGCCGTTGCCCCCCGCAGTCCCGTTTCTCCTGCTTTGTCAGGTTTTCCAGCTCAAGTGGAAATTTTTTTTTAATCCTCACCCGAGGATATTTTTTCATTTATCTTCAGATAGAGTGGGAGGTGGGGGAGAGAGAGAGGGAGAGAAACATCAATGTGAGAGAGACACATTGATTGGTTGCCTCCCGCAGGACCCCAACCAGGGCCAGGGACTGAACTGCAACCCAGATATGCGTTCTTGACCAGAATTGAACCCGTGACTCTTTGATCTGCAGGCTGAAGCTCTAACCACTGAGCAACCGGCTAGGGCTTTTTTTTCTAACTTAAAAAAAAAACACATTTTTATTGATTTCAGAGAGAGGAAGGGAGAAGGAGAGAGAGACAGAAACATCGATGATTGAGAAACATCAGCTGGCTGCCTCCTGCACATTTCCTACTGGGGATCGAGCCCATAACGTGTGCATGTGCCCTGACTGGAAATCGAACCAGTGGCCTCCTGGTGCGTGGGACATTTGTCAACCAACGGAACTACACCGGCTGGGCAAAATTTTATTTTTTTAAATGACCATTAACATGCTTTTCCTTCTCGCATCATAGGAAGAAATAAAAAGGAACTCTTGCCCTGGCCGGGGTGCTCAGTAGGTTGGAGCATTGTCCCATACACCAAAAGGTTGAGGGTTTGATTCCCGGTTAGGGCACATACCTAGGTTGTGGGTTCAGTCCCCGGTCAGGCATGTATGGGAGGCAAACTGATCATGGGAGGCAATGAAAGGGACTCTTGGTCTCATTTCCCCTGCTTGCTTCCACCCACATCTCCGCACCCGTTTACAACAGAACTTCTAGAAGGAGTTGCCTGTGCTCACTGCCCTCCCTCTGTCCTTATACCATCTGCTGCATCGACCCCCGTCAGGTGAGGCCTCTCGTGTCTGAGTCACCATCCGGTCTGACCTGTCAGCTTCACTTGAAATGGCTGTGGCCCTCTTTTCCTTGAAACACTTCTTTCTTTCGTCTTCCAGAATACCACCCTCTCCTGGTTTTCCTCCTGTCTCTGTCTGTTCCTGCTTAGTCCTCTGTCTGGTTCTTCTTCATCGCCCTGAGCTCTGAATGTCAGGGTGCCAGGGCTCAACAGTTAGCCTCCCATCCTCTCCTGTGTGCATTCTCTTATTGCTTTGTCTGGTTTCTTGGCTTTAATTACTGTCTCTAATCTGATGACTCCTACGTTTGTCTCTGCAGCTCAGACCTGTTCTCCGCGGTCTGTTCTCAGTGTGGACCCAGCGGTCCCACTGCAGCATAAGCACCATGTTTGTGAAGTTAGACTCCGTTTCTCACATAGCCACCGCGCTGCACAGTCACAACAGCTGTTGGTTATTAGCCAGGTTCTTGGCAGGTTGCAATAGCAAATTTGCATGAATTTATTACATAAACGAGTTTAAACAGAACAAAACAAACCAGACCCCTCATAAGACAGGTCACGTCAGTTCTCTGTTTGAAACCCCCACCTGCTCCCTGCCTTCACCGGAGTGTCTGTAGTCACCACGACCAGCGCTGAGTGTGACCTGGCCCTCCTGCCGCTCCACCTCCTCTCAGTGCGCTCATTCCCTCTGCTTCGGCCATGCCGACTTCCCTGCTGTTCTGGAACTTTCCAGGCACGGTCCCTATCTGGGCCTTTATACTTGCTGTTTCTAGGCCTAGAATGCTCTTGCCCTAAAATCCACAAGACGTTTCTGCTTAACTTCCCGGATGTTTGATCAGTTTCTCAGTAACACCTTCCGTGGCTTCCCTGCCTAGAAGCACAACCTCTGTCTGACATGGTCACTTCTTGGGCTCTTATCTCCGGCAGGTGTCCACATACCTCATCTGACGTCCTGTTTTCTCTGCTCCCCTCCCAGAGTGCAAGTTCCACAGGGACTAGTGTCCACTTTATTCTCTGCTCTGTCCCCAGCACCTTTAACAGCACCTGATGCATGATGGGCACTGAATAAGATCTGTTGAATTAATAAATCAGTCACGAGAGGAAATGACCAAAACTACATAAGCTTGTGTAGCTTAAAGAAAAGAACTCTCAAGAGGATCGGACAGCTTTCCGTGAGGAAGGTGGTGGCTTCTGCTTGGTTTCTGGGGTCCTCCATGGTAGGTGTAGGGCCGGCGGGTAGATTTGTCATCCACTGAACGTGCAGGAGACTAGACTTTCTGTTCCAGAATCAAGACGCAGGTGCTGACAGACACAGCTGCCACCGAGCAGGAGTCCCTCGTCCAGGCGCGGGGTCCCTGCAGGCATCTTAGTTGGACTGCTCTCGGGTGCACCGGGCTCCGGCAGTGCTGGGAGGCTGAGTGCGTCCTGCGAGTTGCTCCCCCCTGTGGTCCCAGCTTCTTGCAGTGCCATCGGCTTGGGTTTAGGATTAGTTTCCTAGGACTACCCCAACAAAATGACACAGACTCGGTGGCTCACGTCAGCAGAAGTGTCTTCTCTCACAGCTCTGGAGGCCCGACGTCCGAAGACAAGGTGTCAGCAGGGTCGTGCTCCCTCTGAAGGCCCTAAAGGAGGTTCCTTGTCTCCTCCAGCTTCTGTTGGTTGCTGCCATCCTTGCTGGGTCTTGGCTGGTGGAAGCATCACTCCTATTTCTGCCTCCGACTTCTCATGGCCAACCTTCCTTTCTGTGTGTCTGTGTCCAAGGTTTCCTCCTTTTATAAGGACACCAGTCACTGGATTAGAGTGGCCTTAATCTTAACTTGATTGCATCTGCAAAGACCCTATTTCCCAGTAGGAATATCTTTTTTTTTTTTTTTTAATTTAATCTCCATTCCCTCCTCTCTTTAGAACATAAGTTAGGAGCAGGGACCTTGTCAGTGTTATTCGTTTTCTTGTTCCCCA